AAAAATCAAGAAATGATGTTGAATTGTGGGATGTTTTATCCACAATTTCTGAAATGAGGCTAAGTAACATTTTTAAAAAGTATCTTGTTGAATTAATTGATTATATATAAATATTAAGAAATATGACAACCACTTTTCTTGACCTGGCCATTGCAATGCATACTCAAGCATAGTTCAAAATAAAAGACTCATCTACTTATTACTGGCTAATACAAGTGAGGTTTGTTGTTTATTTAATTCTTAGCAGAAAAAAATGCACCTTCATCTAGCAATAGGAGAGAAGAGTTAATTATATTCAAGCTCAGGAATGTTGAATGTGACTCCACAAAGATAGTATAAATGGCTTTTAAGGAGATATCTTGGAAAAATAAGAATTGAAAATAATTTGTATTAAATAGGTATTATTGCAATGGACAGGTTAGTGGATCGATTTAAGGTAACAGAAGATGCAATTGTTTCAGAACCTGAAGAAATTTGACTTAGATCTAATCCAAACCATTCAACTTCTGATTAACTATTCTGATTTCTGCCTTCTTTTCCCATATAGCTCCTTTGTGCAAAGGCTGAATATCATACAGCATTTTTTGCCTTCTCTATAGATCTGTTTACCCCCAAAATAGAAGCTATTACAGGTAGTCCTAGACTTATGACCACAATTGAGCACAAAAATGTCTGTTGTTAAGTAAGATATTTGGTAAGTGAATTTTGCCCCATTTTATGATCTTTCTTGCCACAGTTGTTAAGTGAATCACTGAAGTTGTTATGTTAGTGATGTGGTTGTTAAGTGAATCTGGCTACCCCACTGCTTGTCAGAAGATCACAAAGGGTGATCACATGACCCTGGGACACTACAAATCTCATAAATATGAACCAAAAAATATGTCAAGCATTTGAATTTTGATCACGTCACTATGGGGATGCTGCAGCGGTCATGTGAAAAATGATCAAAAGTCACTTTTTTCAGTGACATTGTAATTTGGAATGGTCACTAAATGAACTGTTGTAAATCAAGGATTACCTGTAATAAACAGAGTTAGCAATCATGACATTGATAATTCCTTTTAAGCTTTAGCATTTCTGAATATATACCAAAGATTTGTGATGTACTATCCTGAAATCCCAAGATTCTTAATAGATAATAAATCCTGTTGAACTTGAAAAGAACATTCAAAAGAATGCTGAGTTTGTCTCAATCAGCACATGTCCTTCCTAAAGTAAACACTATCCAAGTAAATAAGCAACGTTTTACTTTAGTTTAGCAAACAAATAAAAGGTGGGAGAAATGTTCAGGAAAAAAAGTAACGATTCTCAGCAATTCCACTGATTGCACTTTTTAGAACTAGTTTTCAAAATTACCTCAAAACCTTAATAAAGCTGTGTTTTAATTAAATTTAGGAGCCTTTGGGATACAGCAGTACTTAAATTATAATCTGTAATCCAATATTTGCAACATTGCTTTAGTAAATTTCAGTGACAATAGCCATCATGTATTTAGTAGTGTGTGATCAAAAAGCATCACAGTGCACGTGTGTACAGACATCTAAACAAACAACTTCATTAAAAACTGAAGAACCACTTGGAGTGCATGAAAATACAAAATGTACATGGTCATAAATAGTGAAATATTTTAAATATAGTTTTGTATAATTTTATCATCTTTCACTATGTTAGTTTTATTTGCACACATTTATTTTGTTCAGATTTCCAAGCAAATGGCATTGGATTATAACTTTAAATCCAGTTCCCATGGTCTAGTTTCTATTATCTAAATAGTGCTATGAACTTGATGTGCATTGTGTATGTCCACAGTCATGAAAAAAACATCAATGTGTAATAGGTTGTGCTTGCACAATTCCTAAAAACTGAATAAACTGGCTCTTAGAAAAAATGAAAAGAAAATGCTTTTATTTGAAAAGCAAGTATTATATTCAGCCACAGTTGAAAGAATAATTGTAGTATTATAAACAATATTTCTAAAAAGAGAGTAATCCTAACATTAATGCTTGTTTTAAATTATTGGCTAGTTGTATCCTTTCTAGAAAAAACCGAGGGACAATCAGCATTCTTAGCATAATTATCTGGTTTAGCATTACTTCAACTGGAAAACCTGAGCGAAACCTTTTGTGCTTAAGAGTTCAGATTATATAAAAATAATTACCCCTAACTGTAGTCTAGAGTGACAGATATCTAAATGAGGTTGTATTACATTGTTATTCTGAATTTATAGTGACTCTCAAATCACATATTGTAAATGTCATTTGTAATTCATAGATTCTGAAAAGTTACACAACATGTAATATTTGCTTTTTAGAGTGAATTCTCCTTAAACTTTTTCTACTTGCAGTGAAGAATTATCACCTTTTAGCTTTCTGCTTTTCTTTTTCTCCTCTTGCTGATTTGTAATCAAATTCCAGTAAATAAACATCAATGGAACAACATTTTTTTAAAAAATAATAATAATGTTTTTCACATAGCATGGATTCAAAAGAAATACCTGAGGAACTTACTGTTTAATAACTGTAGGCAAAGTTATTGTTATCCTAAAATATAAATTCTATCCACACAGGAGTATTTGCAATCAAAATCAAATTCTTAAAGAAAAAATATTCCAGAAAAATCAATAAGAAGTGTTAAATGAAACAGGAAACTAATCTAGGGAAGGTACAATAAAAGTATTTCTGTTGTTTTAAACTGCATTAAAACAGTATAAATTGATAAATGTATCATTATTGACAGTAGGGACTGGGAATTTACAGCCATAAATCAAAGATGGTTTCTCAATTATCAAACAGGAAAAAATATTTAGGCAAACTTTTGTTGCATCCATTGCAAAGAACAATATCCTCCTAAAAGGCTCCTTTTGAAAGGATCACTTTTAGCATTATTGCTAATAGTATAATGTATTTTTTAAAAACCCATGGGTGCCCCACATCCATGGGTGCCCCACATGTGTATAGTTCTAGTCACTATAGATAACTTTCTATGGAACTGGAAAACTTTAGGAAGAAAGCAACCAAAATTATAAAGGAAAAGTTACAAATGCCTGGACATTTTAGTTTAGAGAAAAGATGAAAGTGTAATATATAGGTAAAACTCACAATTGGTCACATAGCAACCGTTTGAAGTTACAAAGGCCACGCAAAGGATATATATGATTCTATTTCAAAGTTATGGCAACTGCAGCCAACTCCATGGCCATTTGCTGTTACAACTGACCACAGGATGCTGCAGTGACATTCCTCTCCACTCTCTCTTCAGGCCTTCCCACCCCACCTCCAGCAACGATCATGTATTCTGCCCTTCAATGTCTCTGGGCCACTTGGCATCATTTCAGATGCGAGTGCCATTTTCCGAGCAATTTAATCAGCCTCTAAAATTGGCTTCCCTCTCCCTGTTTCCCTCCTACTGGTGGCTTGCAACCCTTAATGAGAGTTGATCTAACAGCAGACCTATGTAATTATGCTCTTCCAGAGGGTTATTCAGAGATTTAGAGGTAAAAGGTGAACCAAATATGAGTATATATTTCTTAAGGCTGAAATTAAAAGTGTTGCAACCAATATAATATTTAATTAGAGAAGTGCTATTGTTAAAATATGCATAAGGTTAACTATCGTCCACCTCAATGTCCTTATGTTTAACACAATAACAGAAAAGCTAAGCTTAAACTAAATTTCTGCTAACTAATCTTCTTAAAAATTAATCTAATTAATTAATTAATTAATCCTATTACTACTTATTTAAGTTTTCCAAGGTAATGGAAATGTTAATATTTTAATAATGATGATGATCATGATAATAATAATAACAACAACCTTGAATGAAGAATGTGCTTTGCTGGACATGTGCTCCGTGTGAGTGAACAACATCCAGCAAATAACACAATCAATTGGATACTACCAGAGATTCAGAGAAAATGAGGAAGCCAAAGAAAACTGGGCACCAAACATTACAGGAAGACCTGAAAAACATCAATCTTAAATGGAAGGATGTGGAGACTGTAGCGGCAGACATAAATCAATCAATCAATCCTTGGGAAGGACTTGATAGGTGTATGAAAAATCCAAATCTAGTGTAAACATCTGGCTGATTGTAAGACAAACCATAATAATAATACCCAAAATCCAGTGCCAGTAATTTCTAAACACTAAAATGCTGTGAACAAATTCGATTAGTCCTTGTGACTATAAAGAAAGACTATTCTGGAGATGCTTAAAGTATCTTTTCATTGCCTGCGGAAACGATTCAATACTACAGTATGTACAGAGAAGGGAACCTTCCTTTCTCTATTTTAATCATTCAAAATGTACTTTACTTGATGATCTGTTGATGTTTCTTGAAATGCCAAGCTTACCTGATGTTCATTAAAACAACTCTTATAAACATGAAGATCAGATTGGAGAGTTAAACTATGTTTGAAGACAGCAGTGACTTCATTCCTTGTTTTATTTTTACACCATCTTCTGACTCCATCATGAAAATCATTCATTAAGTAACTTGCCAGCATTTGCAGATAGGAATTCATATTTAATTTCAAAGTGCAATAGGGAATTTATTGTCAGGCCTTTTCTTTCCCTCTCTCTTTCAATCTTAATCCCTTCACTTCTGTATGAAAGAAGGAAGGGCTATAATTTTGTAGTGCTGTGATTGGTGGGATCCACCTTAAATGTGGCTCATTTACAGATCTATATCCTTTAGTTAAAGGCGAATATCGCAAACTGATTAACAGGCAGGCTCTCATGCATGGGTTTTTTTCCCCTTTCCATCATCTTTAAATGGTCTTCTGTAGCTGAACTCCATAATGCCGATCATTATATTTCACCATTGGCCATAACTGACCATTAGCTATACTGGTTGGAGCTGATGAAACCCAGGATCAACTAAAAGACCACAAAACCCTCAACCTTGCATTATATTTACAAAGTGAACCGTGTTGCTCATTTCAGTGATGCATTACTTATGACCATGGCACTGCGTTTATGTTTGTTATCTTGTTTCTGCAGAATGTAATTGTAACCGTTTGGGCTCAGTCCATGATCGCTGTAATGGAAAAGGAATTTGTGAGTGTAAGCAGGGAACAACAGGGCCTAAGTGTGATAAGTGTCTGCGGGGATATAACTGGCACAACCAGGGTTGTCAATGTAAGTAATTGCCCTACTTCTGCCCCCTCCTCATCCCTTGCTGCCTGTGCTTTCCCATGCCAGCATGCTCAGCCCCCGAGGCCAGACTAATTTTAAAGAAAGAGCAAGCTTTCCAAATGTATCTGCCTGAACCTGAAGTCTAACGAGAGCATTCCAACAAAGGCAATAAATTGGCTATGCAATCCATTTGTTTCAATATGCTGTGTAAGTGCCCCTTTCCTTTCTTTCTGCTAATGCTTGGAGCACTGTTGAACTGAAAATAGCACGTATTGGTGTCTTGCCAGCGCAAGTCAATGGAACTGTGATGAGCTATACTTCTTGTGCCCTGGTTCCAAATGCATACCAGAAACATAAAAACGATACACTAACATGCATGTGCAATTTCTGTTTTTGCATTTACCTTTTCCTAGGTACTGGAAATTTGAGGTCATGAATTAATATATTTCTCTCACTTAAGCCCTTATTTTGGGTGTAGTTCTGTTAACTATCTGCTTTTCCTCCCCCATATGAATCTAACAGTGTTTAAATTGCTCCAGGTAATATAGAGTTATTGGTTCCAGAAGTGCCTAGTGAAACAATGGGAACCCATGTTGATGCTGCCTTGTTCAACCTCCCAACCGTACTTACTAAGTCTTCATCAGATTCAGGGCAAAGTTTGACTAAAGTTTGAAAGCAATACCTGAAGCAGGTTTTTGTAAAACTGTTCTAGGGCTTACTTAATTATATCGACCTAAAGCTGATTCTGGGAAATGCTAGGAAGGAAAAAGAGAAATTTTAGTGAAAAGAAGAACAGGAAGGATGGAAAGGAATATATGAGCTATTCCCAAGTCATAACTATGGTTATGTGTGTGGGAAGTAATAAAAACACAATGCACAAATTTTGGATGACCACTCATGTGTTGATGCCAGTGTTTTTACATTACAACACAGTCAGAAAAAAAAAAAACACCAGCAGGCTATTTGAGAAATAGAAGCAAAAATGGAACTTCAGGTAGGTAAAATGCAATTGTATCTGGTTACAATACGTCAGTTCCACAAGTTTACAATGGAAGTTGTCTTGGCCAAATTACAAATAAACACTTCGTTAAGATAATGTTAAGGTTGGCTCATCATAGTGAGTTATCAGAAAGAAGTTGTAATTTGATGTGCTCTTTATCTGATGTCGTGCATGTTATATGCTTATATATTTTCATTTCTATTTTACTTGTGCTCTTTCTTCATATTTAATGGCTACTCATTAGTTCTGTTGTGTGGTTATCACGTGAACCTTTCTCATCTTCCAGGATATATTCAACTCCTCTTCATTCTCATCTCTTTGGATGCATCTCAGATCTACAACAGTGACTGAAGGCAGTTGCAGTGCCAAATATGAGCAAGTCATCCTCCAAAAGAGGGTGCAGGCAAATTTAATCTGTCTTGAATACAAAGGTTGCATAATGGTTGGAGTCAGTAAGAAGATAACAGTTGGTGTCACTTAAGACTAGGAATATATGATTTAAAGCAGGAAGTAACCAAATGAAAACTTAATTCTACCATAATTCAATAGGTGATTTTAGATAAAAACTCAGACTCTTCCATTAACACTTTCTAAAATAACAATAAGAGATTATGCACAATTATTCATGAACAATTTTTGAGTCATCTTATAATGATTTGCTTGTGGTGCAGGAATGTAAATCAATGAATGAATTCTTAGAATAGGTATGATTTCTGAATTGATATGGATGCTTCTAAAACTACAGGTAATCCTTGACTTTTGACCATGATTGGGACCAGAACTTCTGTTGCTAAGTGAGATGGTCATTAAGTGTTTATTGTGATCATTAAGCAAGTCATTGTAATTGTTAAGTGAATCAGCGGTTGTTAAGCAAATCCAGCTTTCCCCATGGACTTTGCTTGTCAGAAGCCAGCTGGGTAGGTTGCAAATGGTGATCATATAATCTTGGGACACCATAACCATTGTAATTACGTGTTAATTGCCAAGCACCTGAATTTTGATCACATGATAGGGTCACTGTAACAGTTGTGAATGCAAGTACCAGTCACTTCTATTAATGGCACTGTAACTTTGAATAGTTCCTAAACAAATGATCATAAGTCAAGGCCTATCCCCCTTTGTACTTCCCATACTATTCCACTCTGAAAGCATCTGTTCTAGCATGCCAAGGGTTGATAGGTCTTTTTGCATAGATGGAAATATATTTAATCTGGACCCCTCAAATGATTACCAATTTATTTAATAATATTTATTGTAAAGTATAAATACATTTACTGCTGAGTTTGAACTTTTTAACATGAACAAAATTGCACTCATATTCTCAATTGTTCAGTGCCTAATATTAAAATTAAGCAGCATTCACTTTGACAAAGTAACTGAAATACTTCTGTGGTTCTGGAATATCTCTGCAAGATATTCACAAAGAGACAGACAAGGAAGGACTGAAATTTTGAGATGGTGGATTTATTTGTCTTTCAGGCAAATGTACATTTGTTTTTTCCTTCCATAAATTGCTAATCTCAAATTATTTAGGATTAGCAGGGCATTTGAGAGACTGTTGTGATTACTCTTATAAAACACTTCTCTGATGAAGAAGGAAAATCCTTCATATTCTATCTTATCATTTGTCTTTTTTTCTGGCCAAATGGGCACTAATACGTGGATTGCAATGGATTGTAATTACCCATCTTTTTATTGTGTAAGAATGCATTTGAGAACTCATGTGGGGCAGAGATATTCTTAGAAATCTTGGTGATAAGAGAAGCTTGGATTTTCATGTTATATGTTACAACATGACAACTTGTCTCATTATTTGGAAGTGGTAGTAGACTCTAAAATAAATTACTTTAATATAATACATATTATAAACGGTAGCAAAGAGCGTCACAAGCACCAAAAGAACTAGTTAGGTTGATATTTGGGTGTTTGCAGGTATATAGAGTACTCCCACTCTTAAAACTTGGAAATATCATAGATTTTTTTTTTATTAAGCAGAGACTTTCCAATTCACAGATTAGTAAGCATGTCAAACAATACAGCATCTGCAAGGCATAGTCCTATTTCCTAGTACCATATTATTTATCCTGGATTTATCTGGATAAATAATATGGTACTTATAATAAACTCTTTTTCGTGTTAGCTTTATCTGTTTCTCAGGGAAATTTATTACGGCGTTGCAGAAATTACTAGAGCAGCACAGCAATAATATCTCTTTAATGTGCGATAAAGATTCCCTGAAGAAATCTCCCCTCAGGACTGAAAAGCAGACCCTTGATCCTGATCCCAGTGGTGGCCAAAGCTAAACCATTATTTATTTATTTAAAACATTAATCTAGCCACTCATCTTATAACAAGCTCTGGGCAATTCCCGATCCCAATCAATTATCCAGCATCAGTTAGTGCAGTTGTTTAAGGGGTAGCAGAGAATGGAGAGAAAATGAGAGGATTGAAATAAAAGGCCTCAACTCTTATTGTAAAGGATGTGTATCCCAGAAGTGAGATATGGAACATTTATTTAAATGGGGTATATTACTATTTGGAGTGATTTTCTTTGGAATTGTTGGTATGGAAAAATGTTGTCTTTTGGTGCTTGTCTTTTTTAAGGGATGAATTATTTTTGGTTTTCTTGTACAAATCTTTATGTTTTGTTTGTTTATCAGTATCTTTTTATGCCTTCTAAATGGGATTTTGCTTACAACTGAGAGTTGAGACAAGGACCGTTAAGGTTTCTATGTGTTTCTTGCTGTTAATATTTTAGAGTTTTGACTTTTTGCTGATAATTGGGCAAGGAGATGTTACTTTCGTGATTTACCATTAGAGTTGAGTTTTGGGATGAGAAGTTTTATATTTGTTAAGAGGAGGTGAAGAGATTTTGAACTTGACATGATGAGTGGAGAAAGTCACTTTCTTAAATGGAAGTTTACCCTTTTGCTTTGATGCAATTTTTTTTCTTTTGTATAATATTTGCATTATATTTTATTTATTTATTTAAAATCTTAATAGAATTATTATTAAAAGAAAAATGTGTGTATCCCAATTTCAGATGCAAGTTCTCCCAGAAGCTTATAAGACATTATTACCCTAATATAACAATTTTAAAACTGAAGCAGTATTTAGGAAACAACATGTAGTACCTAGACAAGCATAGCATTTAGAAGCAAACTTTACCTGATTTTTGCTTTATTTAGGGTAGGACATATTAAGAAATTATATCTTTGCCAACATCATATTACAGTAGAGGACCAATAAGTGTAGACAATAAATCTATATGTTTACAGGACAGAGGGGGAAATGGTTACATACCCTGCCTCATTAACAAAATTGTTAATTCATTTGAAAATTTTAGATTTAGATATTTTAAATGAATTGGTTCTGTCTCCTGTCAAAGGGTCTTGTCAGAGAAAAGCCAAATTTTGGGGTGATTTTCCCAAGAAGCTCTTCAACAAGTAGCATTAGAACGGCTTCATGTGTGCTTGTCCACACAGTGGCATTATTTAGAAACAGCGTAGCTACTCTAAGCTCATGATCAGAACTATTCCATTACTACTGGGGAACTTGGCTGTGGGCCCCAACGACTTCCCAAGGCTTGTCAACCAATGTCTGGGTGTATGAAAGTCTCATGCTAAGGAACAAGTAGATGCCGCTGTGTTTCCAAAAGTAGGAACAATTTTGAGATAGATCTGCCGTTGCATGCCTTCTGTCAGAGCACAAAACAACAACTTCAGAAACACATGGCAATTCAGGAGTCCTCTGTGTCTGCACCCAGCAGGATGTTGCAGCATCACAATTTTTTTTTAAAAAATACTGGTTTCTGTCTAATTTGCTTCCTTAATAAGTTGTACTATGTATTCTACTGCCAAATTTCAATTCAGTTTAGTTGGCTAAGATTTTTTTTTCTGCTTTCACAAGATTACGAGATTAACAGAGTTGAAAGGGACCTTGTAGGTCATCTAGTCCAACCCCCCCCCCCAAGCAACCTTGCCCATTTTTGCTTTCTGCCATG